AACTCGACGAAAACTGCTTGCGGCCCACGGTGATGTCAGTTGAGAAGAGACTTGAAGCCTGTATCGCCGCCGGAGGACTTCTTTCGAGCACTTCTCTAGTAATGAATTGTTATGTTTACTGTATATAAAGATAAACCTCTGAAGATTAATAGATTCTCTTTTTGGAAATATGGTCAATTAACCATGCGCCAATATTTAGTAGCCACCCTGTATAGTAGGATTGGATTTTGCAAAGACGGAAACCAAGCAGGCCTTCCTAATGCCTAAGAGGAAGCTAGCTAAACTCACTGCAATTTCTTGGGCCCGCGGTTAACCATCTGAAAAGAGAACCTTTCTGCTCGATCGCTGCCAGCATGCTATATATAGTATCCACTTACCAAGCCGGTGATTGGCGTCTTGGCTTCCGTTGTGACTATTGCTCGATTCAATGTTGTCAGGTATGTTGAGGCTATCCTGGCGGTCTTCAGTGAGCTTCTGTAGCTGGTTCTGGATCGTTCATTAATGGTCATCTCAGTGGACGTCGTCTTGTTAGGAAAACTCTTGTTCAGTGTTGCGTTAGTTACTGGTGACCTTTCAATACTTGTTTTAGGTCGGACAGTGGTAGCCATCACAGTGGAGAGCGTTGCATTGGTAAAATTCTTCTTAACTGTTGCTTTCATTATTGGTGATCTTCCAGTGCTGGTTTTGGGCTTCATAGTCGCAGGCGTTAGATTGGTAAAATTCTTCTTAACTGTTGCTTTCATTATTGGTGATCTTCCAGTGCTGGTTTTGGGCTTCATAGTCGCAGGCGTTAGATTGGTAAGATTCTTCTTAAGTGTTGCCTTAGTTATTAGCCCCCTCCTAATGCTGGTTTTGGCCGTCACAGCGACGTTGTTGCCTTACGAACATTCTTCCTAACTGGTGCCTTGGTTTTTGGTGTTTTTCTAGTGCTGGTTTTGGCCTTCACAGTCGCAGGCGTTGCATTAGGTAAAATTCTTCTTCAGTGTTGCTTTAGTTATTAGCCTCCTCCTCATGCTGGTTTTGGCCGTCACAGCGAACGTTGTTGCCTTACGAACATTCTTCCTAACTGGTGCCTTGGTTTTTGGTGTTTTTCTAGTGCTGGTTTTGGCCTTCACAGTCGCAGGCGTTGCATTGGTAAAATTCTTCTTGAGTGTTGCGATAATATTGCTCCAATTTTTGCACTTTTTGATTAGTTCCTGTAAGGTTTATACTACAATGTTCTAAAAATTTTAGGCGAACCTTGCATTCAGTCCCACTTTGTCAACAACTGTAAAATTTCAAATTATTTTGGTCTCAGTCTTTAAATGAAAACTGCAACCTCATCCTCGCCGTTGCTTTATTTGAAGGTGATGTTACTTTGGCTGGAGCGTTTAATTATATGTATGTTCCATCTACTTCATCTTGCTGTGTAAAAAGTTGGTTGAAAAAGCGAGTTAAAACCTATTAGGACGTTGCATGGAGGCTCGAGTCGCTTTGGCGTTTTAGCGTTTTAGCCGAGTTCATACTTCATGATACATCTTATTCTCTCTTCAAGGTTCCGGCAAGTCAATTTCCTAACTACAGTACTCGCCGTTTGAAATCGAAAATTCACGCGAATAACGCGAATCCTCGTTAATTTCGTGAATTCGTTATAACTCGGTTCAAAATTGAGCTTTCGAGAATCCGAAGATATCTTTGAATTCAGCTCGTCGGACACTATAAGAATGTGCTTTGATACTTTGGAAAAGCTCCATATAGGATTGCGCCATGCACTCGATTTTCATCTCAAAAAGTAGTTGCTCGCATGTGATGTGTATATAATCCCGCTTATGCGGGCTGACCGCTACACACAGAGAAGGGCCTCAAAACTTACCCCAGAATGCGCCACGTACTCAATCTCATCCACTACATTGTGAGATTAGATGAATGTTATTTTCCGAATTCTTAGATCTTCATTTCGTTTTTAAGCGCTTACTGGCTTTACGTGTTCCCTCTGCTCTCAATATCCCATCCTCTGTATATCAAGTGGAATCTTTGAACAGTTCTCAGCAGGCATAGTGGGCCTATTATGTGACATTTTCCATTTTCAGAGGAGATGTTTTGCAGAAAGCTGTGAAGATAGCGAACAATTTCCTTCACTGTCGTAGACTACGGTCACTTGTCTGTAAGGATTATATGGAAAACTTGGTCGCAAGTGAGCGTTCCTTCCGTGGTGTGGCCCCAAACATGCCTCCTCGTCATGCCCTTGTGGAATGTTCAGATTTTTTGCATTTCCAGATGAACTCGCAGACCTGAAATGTGCCCCGTTAGCTTCCCCGTGAAAAATGCTATCGAATGATATGCATTACTTCCCCAGTTGAAACTTTGGTTTTTCACCGTTTTCAGCCTTCCCCTATTGCCGGATTGGGCACTATCCCACGATTACTGCCCCAAAATCTCAAAGTTTCATTTTTCGTCGAAACTTTGTCTATTGGGGTAAAAAAAAAAAAAAAAAAAAAAAAAAAAAAAAAAAAAAAAAAAAAAAAAAAAAAAAAAAAAAAAAAAAAAAAAAAAAAAAAAAAAAAAAAAAAAAAAAAAAAAAAAAAAAAAAAAAAAAAAAAAAAAAAAAAAAAAAAAAAAAAAAAAAAAAAAAAAAAAAAAATAATTCGATGCCCTGATTACGAATATGACATTCATTTTTGATGCTGGTGTCATTTGGCGCCATTTGGCGCCGTTTGGCGCCAATTTGGCGCCACGCTGTTTTCACCAAATCTGCTGAAACTTCGTCATTTGGGGTTATTTGGGGTCCTGATTACGAAAACGACACCCGTTTTGGCGCTGGCGCCATTTGGCGCCGTTTGGCGCCAATTTGGCGCCACGGCTGTTTCCACCAAATCCGCTGAAAACGTGTGTATAGGGGTTATTTGGGGTCCTGATCACGAATATAACATCCAGTCTTGACGCCGGCGCCATGTGGTGTCACAAACAACACTTCACAGTCAGAGCGTACTCTTAGGCACCTTTCTCAGAGCGCCGACTGTCAGACCGTGGAAAAGGTCATCGAATCGGAGACTTTCCCACGACAGGAAGGAGCCAGAAGCATGTTTCACGTTTTCGACAACGGAGAATAACGATGGCTCTTGCTACTCTTTAGCGACACAATCGTCAATGAGAGCTACTGGGCTTAGCCTTGAAGGACGTGTACGAGACGCTCAAGTTGAATAATCTGCACTTACTGGTTGCGATCCATGGGGTTGATGTCTGTGCCACTATGCCATTCATGTCAACGATCCATGAGCCTGATCAACGACGAACGGCACAACGGCTGGATTTGCAATCGTCGAGCGTGCCGCACTGGACCGTCGAACGAGACCAGGGTCTACGTTCATGCCCGAAAGGATTCCTTTTTCGAGAACTGTAACTTTCCTGAGTCCACGGTGTTCGCACTGCCCTATTTCTGGCTGCGCGACATGGGCAAGGTGAAGGACAAGGAATACGAGCTCAACGTCGGCCACACCAGTTCAATTCAGTGGGAGCGGTTCTTCCGCGACGTATGTGTGGGGCACTTCAGGAGGAACCCGCCGATCATCGGAAAGGTTCGGGTGCGAGATGGAAATTGACGAAACACTGGTTATCAAACGCAAATACAACCGCCGACGTTGGGTACGCAGGCACAAGTGGCTGAGTGGACTCCTTCGGATGGTCCGAAGGAAAGACGTTTCAACTCTACTGCGGCTCATCATGAAGTAGTACATCGAGCACGGTACTACCATCCTCAGTGGCAGCTGGAGAGCTTACAGTCGAATTGCTGCTCTGCCCAACGCATACAGGCATCTCCAGTGAAAACGTGAAATATGCTTCTGGCTTAGCTCACAGTTTTCCACGGTCTGGCTCCTTCCTGTCGTGGGAAAGTCTCCGATTCGATGACCTTTTCCACGGTCTGACAGTCGGCGCTCTGAGAAAGGTGCCTAAGAGTACGCTCTGACTGTGAAGTGTTGTTTGTGACACCACATGGCGCCGGCGTCAAGACTGGATGTTATATTCGTGATCAGGACCCCAAATAACCCCTATACACACGTTTTCAGCGGATTTGGTGAAAACAGCCGTGGCGCCAAATTGGCGCCAAACGGCGCCAGCGCCAAAACGGGTGTCGTTTTCGTAATCAGGACCCCAAATAACCCCAAATGACGAAGTTTCAGCAGATTTGGTGAAAACAGCCGTGGCGCCAAATTGGCGCCAATGACGCCAAATGACACCAGCATCAAAAATGAATGTCATATTCGTAATCAGGGCATCGAATTACCCCAATAGACAAAGTTTCGACGAAAAATGAAACTTTGAGATTTTGGGGCAGTAATCGTGGGATGCCCAATCCGGCAATAGGGGAAGGCTGAAAACGGTGAAAAACCAAAGTTTCAACTGGGGAAGTAATGCATATCATTCGATAGCATTTTTCACGGGGAAAGCTAACGGGGCACATTTCAGGTCTGCGAGTTCATCTGGAAATGCAAAAAATCTGAACATTCCACAAGGGCATGACGAGGAGGCATGTTTGGGGCCACACCACGGAAGGAACGCTCACTTGCGACCGAGTTTTCCACATAATTCCTACAGACAAGTGACCATAGTCTACGACAGTGAAGGAAATTCTTCGCTTCCTTTACAGCTTTCTACAAAACATTCCTCTAAAAATGGGACTTGTCACGTAATAGGGGGCAAAGGCATGACAAGGGGTGATGTTTGGGGTCACACCACGGAAGAAACGCTCACCTGCGACCAAGGTTTCCATATAATCCTTACAGACAAGTGACCGTAGTCTACGACAGTGAAGGAAATTGTTCGCTATCTTCACAGCTTTCTGCAAAACATCTCCTCTGAAAATGGAAAATGTCACATAATAGGCCCACTATGCCTGCTGAGAACTGTTCAAAGATTCCACTTGATATACAGAGGATGGGATATTGAGAGCAGAGGGAACACGTAAAGCCAGTAAGCGCTTAAAAACGAAATGAAGATCTAAGAATTCGGAAAATAACATTCATCTAATCTCACAATGTAGTGGATGAGATTGAGTACGTGGCGCATTCTGGGGTAAGTTTTGAGGCCCTTCTCTGTGTGTAGCGGTCAGCCCGCATAAGCGGGATTATATACACATCACATGCGAGCAACTACTTTTTGAGATGAAAATCGAGTGCATGGCGCAATCCTATATGGAGCTTTTCCAAAGTATCAAAGCACATTCTTATAGTGTCCGACGAGCTGAATTCAAAGATATCTTCGGATTCTCGAAAGCTCAATTTTGAACCGAGTTATAACGAATTCACGAAATTAACGAGGATTCGCGTTATTCGCGTGAATTTTCGATTTCAAACGGCGAGTACTGTGTCTTTTCTTCAACACATGACATAACGCGTGTGCGCCGTGGCGCCCGATTTTAGTCTCTATTTTATTATCGTGGTTGCCATTTTTTATTGATGTTTTGTGCAGTCCTTTTTTTCTACCCTGTGATCAACATATTTGAATGAGAAGTTACCGAATGAGTCATATCTTACAAAGTGAAAAATTGATAACCAGCCGTCTTTAACTGTCGTCGTTTGTTCGCCCAAGGCTCTTCTGCCGTGTCCGTAACTTCACATAAATCCTTTTTGTCTATGTCTCTTGTCTTTTGTCTTTTTGTCTTTTGATATCTTTTCTGAAGCTCCTCACAGCTACCTGCCTTGCTCCCTACTCTATTACTTTCTTATAGGGTGATCCTATAGCTACCTTAGCAAGAGTCCACACCATC